GATCCCTAACTCAAAGTTACCAAATACTTATCTAACCGGTCACGTGTGGATGCAAAAAATAACAAACAGAAATGAATGGACACAACTAAGGGAGTATTATATCCGACGATGGATGGATTAGCTGTTGATGAAAAGCAAATAATATTCTTAGTAAGAAAAAAAATACTAAGACGAATTTATGGAGCAGTGAATGACAATGGAGTATGGCGAAAATGATACAACTTTGAACTCTATAGATATATTAGGAACCAGATATTTTAAAACATATTAAGATAGGACGTCTGAGGTGGATAGAGCATGTAATGCGTATGGAATATAATGACTTAGCTAGAAAAACGTGTTTGGCGAAGAAAGGCGATGTATAGGAAAGATTGGAGAGAAATTCTTGAGGAGGCTAGGACCCACGCAGACCCACGTATATTGTAGCAGAAAGTTCATTTTGCAATAACACAGCTAGATGAAGGTGAAGCAGCAGGTCCCGATAATGTAAAAGTAAAACTAATGAAACTAATAGATAACAAATCAATAGCAATAATTACAAAAATACTCAACAGTATATACAACTTTGGAACAGAATGGTGAAAGGCTTATAGTTAAAATGTCGTTCATCGGTGAATACTCAAGATTTCGAGAATTGGCTGAATTACAAATGAAAAGGTCCTTAGAATGATGAGGAATAACGGAGAGGTACTAAATACAATTAAACCTAAAAAGCTACAGTACTGCGGTTACATTATGCAAAAATAATCCAGATATGCTCTTCTACAAGCCATTATGGACGGAATATTTGAAAGGAAAGGTCCAGGAAGAAGAAAAACATTCTGGTTAAACAATCTTGGAACCTGGTTCAATACAATATATGTGCAGCTTTTCCGTGTTGCTGCAGACAAGATAAAGATTAGCATGATAATCGTATCATTCGTCATGGATCAGCACATTAAGAAGAGTAATACATACGAATCAACCTTTTCCATATATTTATTGCTCATAAGTATATCCACAGTTATTGCAGAGAATTATTTGCTAGGTATTATTTTTGGCTAGATTTATTTGAGCCCTGTCTTTAATCTTGAATTTATTACCTTTTTGTATTGATTTTCTCTGTCTTGGTAAGGTAAGATTGAACTGGCAAAAGGTTAAATTTACAAAACAATCTACTGAACGTCAATTGATACATATACAATAGTTATGAATAATTTGCAGTTTAAAAACAACAATTTACAATTATCGTGGATTGATTCAATGGAATATCGGTATTTTCGGAAATCAAAATATTAATCATGTTAGTTTGTTAGTACCTGTTAGTTATTTTCGTAAATTTGGCTAACTTACCTTATAATTAACAAATCACAATATTCACAAAAACTGTTTATATCATTTAAAATTTGAATCCGAAAGTTGACAATATACATAATTATAACATCTTCAGTATTTGGTCTTCTCACGTAATAATTTTATATTATTATAGTCGGTTTCGAAACTGTTTTTTAAATTTTTATAATAAATATAGTACTAAACAGAATTTGGACAGAATTTTTTCGTTAAAATTGACCGAAAGAAAGAAGAAGTTTCTACAAACAAACTTTTATTAGACGAACGAAAGCTTAGACAAACTTGTTTGTGGTAAATGTGTCAAGATACTGGTGATGTTGTCGAACGTGATACAGGTCGTACAACGACAACCGACCAGATTGAATACCGCTTTATAAGGCTTGGCGAGATCGCACTGTAACTGCATCACAATTTCAAAGGAGGCTACAAGAGACCCGTCAGGTATTTGTAGGTAAAAAAATTATTAAAAATAAACCGCATGAAGTAGGGTTAAATGCGATAAATGCGGTTAAATAGGACGTTAGTGGACACCAGAACACGTAAATTGGCTTAGCCGTGAGTGGGCCTCTACTTTATTCACAGATGTGTCCCGATTTGGATCTCCACCAGATATAAGACGGACGGATACCAGATATAATTTGAAGACAATCTGTCAATGCTGAACCACCGCCACCGTGCAGGAGGTTCATAGATAGCAAGAGAGCAGTATAATGCTATAAGGTGGCATTACTCTTGGCGAAAAAACCAATTTCCGAACCATCAGCTTAATGAGCCACATTTTAAAGTTATTTCTAAAAATCGCACATCTCTACGAAGAAACAACAAATTGAAAGAGTAAAATCATTCACCTTCCTTGGTACGAACGTCAATAAAAATTGGGATCATTCCCTAGAAATAAAATCTAGGATAGAGAAAGCAAGATCTGCATTTCGTTCCCGTTAAAATCAGGTTATTACATGATATCTTTATATCTTTATTATGTTGTTGTACGGAGTTCAGTCGTGGACTCTTACAGATGCTACCTGTAAGAAAATTGAGGCTTTCGAAATGTGGCGTTATCGTCGAATCCTGAAGATATCCTATACCGACCACGATACTAACCAAGACGTTTTATTAAGAATGCAAAAAGGAAAAGAGTTGTTAACCACTATAAAAACAGCCAAAATCGAATATCTTGTTCACATAATGAGGAACAGCGAAAGATATGGGTTGCTGCAATTAATTCTTAAAGGAAAAGTAGAAAATGGCACTAGTAGATGGGCACTATAAAAAGAAGAAGAATGTAAATTTAGCAAAATATTCAACTATATCACTCTATTTGGCACATCCTATATACATTTTATTAAAATGTTTTATCTCTTTTATAGCAGAATTTTTCTGCACCGCATGCTTATTGCAAACAATACAGTCTCCATGTATTTGTCGGAAATTGTTTCTCTTATGTCAGAAATTGTCTACCCAGGTAGCATAAACTTGATAAATTTGCCAAGCAATATTAAAAACTTTGCTTACAAATCTCTAGGTTTCTAAAATAACAAACGATTTATCACTGCAGCTCGTGTAACGGCCGCAGATTTTGTTCAAGTAGTACAAAAAAGATAATATAGTGGGCTTGATTAAATGCAGCCGTTTATAGAGCTATTTGTTTATTTTATTGAAGTAATAAAATAGCCCGACAATGGCTATATGTTACCTGTTGTTAAACAGTGCACGCAGTGTTAATAGTTAATGAACAATTTGCTAAAGAACGTGAAAATGTTTGTACAGATTTGAGAATTTATGATTCCCATTCATGGCTATGTCTTTGTTTCTAATTTAAACCACTGTTTACGCGAGGAAAGAAATAAGAAATCACGTATTCTAGTAAGGTAGGTAGTAACTAAATAAATACGTTAGACGTTTAATTCCCTACTCTGATATAATGGTTCTAAATTAATTAGCTGTAGGTCCTATAAACATAAATACAGAACATAAATTCCAGAATAAATTCTGGAAACGCCTAATTATCTCTGAAGTGAATGGTCCGAATCATGATACGACAGGGTGTCCAGAAACTCTCCTGACAAACTAAGAGCAGATATTTCTCACATAACTCTAAGACAACTTCACTCAACTCACCCAGTCCAAAAATACTTCCTAAGGAAGCTAGAGCTCTTTGAAGATGGCGACTTGTAATCAGTTTTTTTTAATAATTTTACTAATTACCAAATTTTCTAAATTTACATCTTCTTCAACTCCATTTAGTTCATAAATACGTAAATTTTACCTATTGCTAAAACATCTTATTTTGAAATACGTAAGAGAGTTCCAAAAATGTTATTAATAAATTGATTGAAAATGTGCGTTTATTCTCAAAGGGTAGAAAGTAAAATAAAAAGGACTTACTTACAATTGAATTAATATTGTAGCTACGACGACGGGTTTTGGGCTCTTCAAATATAGCCCATCCTCAGGTACAAATGTTTAGAAGTTACTTAACCACTACAAAAACAAGTAAAAAGATAATAGGAAAGACAGTTAAGTTATGATATCACGTTATGTTATGATATCACGTATAGTGCATGTGTCTGCTTAAACGTATTTCACCCTAAAAGGGATCTTCGGAGCGGCTATTCGCAGACGCTCTGAACGTGAAAATAACTTTTTTTATCATAATAGAAGCAACTATAAAATGGCCTCGATCTGGACGCAATAGCGACATCTGATAAATAAATCCGTAAACTGATTTTCGAAACCAAATTTAGATTTCTGCTTTAATCTGTCTTCTAAGAATTGCAAGGCAAAACGGACGTTGATAAAAATGTTATTAGAGACATGGGGAATGTATAGTTGCATTCCACAATATATCTCCTCAACTAAGCAAAATCCTGTACCACCAAATACTGTTGTTACCAACCAACAACAATTGTAAAATTACCTTTTTTTCTTTCTGCAGTGATTAAGTAACTTGCTAACGTTTTCTTCTACTCTCTAACTAGTAAATTGTATATTACCTACTATTTGGATGCTAAGTAAATGCATCATAACAGATACTGACACGTAATGACTAGCACGTAATAAAAAAAATTACGCTTCAGTTTTATAAACATGTGTAATATCACATAAGCCTCGTAAGTCAGTTGGTCGAGTTACCATGGAAACGAATTAACAGACGTTATTTTGACAGAATAAAAATTATTAATCTGTTAGTGTAACTATAGTGGTAATTTAATTTTTATTTTTATAAACGAAAATAATCGTAGAAAAAGTATAGTACACAACTTGAGTTGTAAGCTTATTACATGCTTGTAAAATTACTGCGCTCGCCGCTACGCGGCTCGCGCGCAACTTTTTTACTCGCATGTATTAAGCTTCTTACAACTCTCGTTATGTAATATACTATAACCTAAGGATGGGCTGTATTAATAAAACCCGAAACCAGCTTTCGTAGTTACAATAATAAAAAATCGTAAAAGTCTTTTTTTCTCTTTTTTTACTCTTTTCAAATACTACCTTATATATTTATTTCATTACATACTTTTTATTTATTTTTTATATATTCGCATTACCTATATAGATAAACCAGAAATTTTTATATAAAAATGTCATTACTCTGGTAAAAAGTAAAACATGTATCATTATCTTTTTTAAATACTTATTTACTATTTAATAAATTTAAAAAAACTTACTTTTCTTTGTAGAACGTTAATCTTTCTATCCTTGATCTCCATGTGCTCCCTCATCTCTGCAATCTCGGCGCCAGCTCGGCCTCTCTCTTGTTGAAACTGCTGAGCTTTCTTCTCTGCGTATCGGTTCTTCTCCTCCAACCGTTGCCTGAGTTCCTCGACGTCAGTCTGGAGCATGTTGTAGTGTTCTTCCTTGGCGCAGAGGGATTCTTTGAGGACTGCGATGTGTCGTTGGTAGTCTTGGTGCTGTTCCTCTAAGGTCTTCATCTTGGCGCCCATCGCGAGGATCTCCTGGTCTCTGCGTTGAATCTCCACGCGGAACTCGTCCAGCTGCACAGACGAGCAGTAGCATGCACTATCCATGCGGGGTATAAGCGACAGTGAGGTGGTAAAACTGAACTTAAGCGGCCATAGAGTCTTATTACCTAGTTACATTCTGATAACTGAGCCATCTTTCCCGATTTGCACGTCGTTCAACAGAAAACTTACTTGGCGCTTGATCGGCGGCGGGGCGGCGAGGGCGGAAGGCAGTGGCTGTGTCAAACGCTCGACCTCGCTCTCTAATAGCCTGACCTCGCGCTCGAGGGTAGCAATGCGCGCGTCCTTAGTGTCGAGCAGAACTTTCACCGTGCTACTAGAGGGCGAGGGCACCAGCTCCAGTTGCGTTTGAAGCGTGCGCAAAGTTTCGTTTGCTGCTTGTAACTCCTGCAGAGGGAATGAAGAGGAGCTGTCAGATTCTGTCTCGGCTGCCGGCCGTTCAACGCTTTACCACCACCATCGGATTTTTTTTTTAATTTTTTTTTTGACACATTACCAAGAATACCCACCAAATCGAAACATCATCTTTCAACAATTGCTATTGTAATCTATTTAACGGATGAATACTTAGAAGAGAATGTTAATTAGAAAACCACAGCAAAAGCTAGTAAACAATGATAGCCGCCATAAATATTTTTTAACTCTTGCTTATGCTTACTTCTACCACAAAAGCTTTGTACTATTTGGCTCCTTAATGACAACGTAAAAAGAAATATTTATCCTAATTCTGTAGAATTTCCTGGGAACTTTGCAACAGACAACGATTTTTTTTAATGTAAGGGAAAGTAATAGCTTTCTCAAATAGCTAAAGATAGTTATTTAGAGGTATGGTTGTTTCAGAACCAAATAAACTGTAAAAAATAGGTTCTTGTTAATTTATATAAAAAGCTCTAACTATTTTAACACAAAAAATTAAACATCTAGATTGCACAAAATATAGTAAGTAAGATAGAGGCAGAAACGAGTTTCGATCGATTTCTTATGTATTTCGTAATTATTGTGAAACCACACCACCAACGAATACGCTCATAGAGATCTTACCCAGTATTACTTTCTCTTTAATATTATTTTCTCTTTACTCTGTACTCATAACCGTTTGTTACAGCAGTCATGTTGTAATACTGATCAGCCGTTAAGGCAAAGGGCTTGCACCTAATATCCTTTGCATCCTTGCGAAACCTTAGCATCGAGGTCACGAGGATCCTTCGGGCGCTCAGCTGACGAGGAGAACAAAATAATAAAACTGGCATCAAATAGCATAAAACAGAGAAGAGTGGAGAACTTATGGGAAGCTGAAGATAAATAAATTAAAATCGGTTTATAATTTGTTAAAATAATTTCAAAACAAACTCACGAAATTTACAAAATGTTCAATTATTGTGTGAAAAGCATGTACTTTGATTGTAGAATTTTTAAAATTTGGCATTCTAGAATGCTTATCCGGTGCTTATTTTTTCAGTCGAGATTTTGTATATGTTTGGGGAAAATACATACGACGTTCCTGCACAAAATCTACACTTTGCTCCTCCTCTTTCATAACTTTCGCTAGATCTCTATTCTTTCTTCTATATATTGCCATCAAGTCTAGAAACAAAGTTTGTTACACTTAAACCTCTGTAGTATCACTTTCTTCGGTCATATTTTTTTATAGATGTTTGATACGAAGGCTGTTTTCTATTCCGGTGGCAGCTCTTCGCCTTTAAGAAAGCCATTAAATACAAAAGCGACTAGTTTCAGTAGCAAGTCTAGTCAATATTTTAAAATTTTAATAAAAAAATACCCGTAGGTTTAGAAGTTCCTCCATTTTTCAGGGTCATTAGAACTTTCTGTGCTTCAGTTGGTGTTATTGAGTTTTCTTTTAGTAAAGATGTCTCTGAGTGCAAAAAATGGTCATTATTTTCAAAAGAAATTATACAGGATCTTCCGCCACTAGATTTTGATAATGATCTTTTTAATCTTCTAGTGCTATAAGGCAGATATAAACTTTTTCCTCACTATCCGTTCTAGAAATAAAACTATTGCAACAAAATAAGGGACAATGTTGTTGAAAAACATTCGGAAGGCATAACTATAAAAAGAAGAAGAAGAAGATACTTATTCTTGTGTAATTGGACGGATCGTTTGTGCTGCCTTTATTTAATAGAATTTTCCTTAATTCAATTCGGATTCCATTCTAGATAGTAATGTTTAAGGATGCATGCCTTAAAAGTTTCTTTCGTGATATTATGCAGTTAATGTCAATTTTTAAATAATCGTACTTTGTTTATGGTATCAAGACTGCTTAAACTTTATGACATATATTTTAATCACAACTGTAAATTATGCAAAATGTAGTAAAGAGTTTACAACTCGTATAAAACTTGACAAAAGTTATAAAGTTGTATTATTCCCTAAAGGTCGAAGAAGTTTAAAACTTGTATATACTTATTATACACTTTAAAAATAAACTTCTTTGGTTCTTAAGATATTGCATTTAAATTATATAACTGTTTTTATTTTATTAAGAGTTTCATCTCATGTTCTTCCTGGTTTTACAATAATTTTTTAATTTTTGATTTTAAGGAATATATTACATAATATAGAATGACAGACAAGTCTGGGTTTAAAAACAGTTATCTAAAAACGGAGAAAATAGAAATATTGGAAACTTGGAAAAAAACAATATACTGGGGAGCGACTTAGCAGAAGAATACTAAGCGGAAAATAAAGTAGTGCAAACATTACCGGAGAAAGCAAGAGAGGAGGTTTTTGAAAGAAGCCATCAATAGAATCAAAACACAAAAAACACGTAGGAATGACTAAATTGCGTCAGAAATAATACGTATCTAGTACGTATCAAGTATCTAGGAGAAAATAAAAGGGAATGGCTGTGGATAATTTGCAAAGAAGCTTGGAATAATTAAAAGGTGCTACGGGAATAGAAAAATAATTTATTCGTAGCAATACATAAAAAAGTAGAAGAAACTCAATACAAAAATTACAGAGCAAGTAGTTAGCAAGTCAGCTATATTCTATAATACTATACATATACATCGATAATAGATAAAAAACTGGTACGTTGGAAAAACTGCAAGAAGAACAAGCAAACTTTAGGCCAAATAGGAAGACAAATGACAAGACTAGAGCTAGTTTACAACTATCAAAGAAATGCAATGTAAAAATTATATAAATATGCGCCCCAACGATTACTCACACTGACAAAGAAATAGAGGAAATGTACATTAACATTAACAACTGAAGCATCAAATGACAATAAAAGTCACTTTAACATAACTACAAGAACTTCGATCGGTGTGTACTACCAAAGTGGGAAAGAAAAACGACAAAGAACAAGTCGTGAGAAAGTATGGACTCGATGAAAGAAATGAAAGGGGAGACAGACTGGTTCAGTTTGCACACTACCAAAACATGCCTAGTGCAAATACATTTTTTAAGCAAAAATCTGAGAAACACTGACTTCTGTCTCTTGCTCTTAATTGAATAATTCTTCCATGTATTGCATCCATCTATCATGTATTCTCTCATTTTCGTAGAGCAGATTGTTGTGCACGTCTAGTATTAAGTTATGACTTCATGATCCGTTTCCTCCCGTTAAGTTTTTAATGTTTTTATGTAGGTTATAAGTGTCATGCTTCTGTTCTATGGATTCTATTTCTTTGCATTTATCTTTAAAATTTTGGTGCTGTTTAAATAATTCTTTTTTTAAATCATGAATGTGTTGCTTGTGTGAGTCCATTTCAAATAGGTAAAGAAATAATAAATAAGACTTACTCAAAATAAATTTAATTTAACTATCAGACGACCGGTTTCGCTTTCTACAATATGCAAAGCATCCTCAGGTCAAATCAAATAGTCTATTAGATTGTAATAAATTAATAAATGAGCAAATAAATAAAATAAACATTACTTACATGCCGGTACTCTATTAATTGATGCATGGTAGAACATGGTTGAAACTACTATGTATTGTTGAATGGAGAACTCAATTCTGTTATTGCAGTTGTTTGACAGTAAACGGGAAGTTCTTGAGGAAATAGATTTGATCCAATGAAGAAGAAGAGATATGTGTGATATGTGTGTGATTGTTTGTTAAATGAAAGTGAACTTTCATTTAACAAAGTACAAGATTGTTTGTTAAATGAAAGTAGTCACTTTCATCTAACAAACAATCACACACATATCTCTTCTTCTTCATTGGATCAAATCTATTTCCTCAAGAACTTCCCGTTTACTGTCAACAACTGCAATAACAGAATTGAGTTCTCCATTCAACAATACATAGTAGTTTCAACCATGTTCTACCATGCATCAATTAATAGAGTACCGGCATGTAAGTAATGTTTATTTTATTTATTTGCTCATTTATTAATTTATTACAATCTAATAGACTATTTTATAACAATTTGTGGGCCTTACCTTGTGTGTTTAAACTTTTAAAACTTTTATACCTTTTTATTCAACTTACTCTTTTAAATAAAACCACAGACATGTAATATTGGCATAATATTGTAATTTACAACATCTACTTTGTTTATCTTTATTAGACAACACCCTAATATGGGTTTTCATCATTTCAGGATTTGTTTAACTTTGTATCGAGACCTGAGGATGCTTTGCATATTGTAGAAAGCGAAACCGGTCGTCTGATAGTTAAATTAAATTAATTGTGAGTAAGTCTTATTTATTATTTCTTTACCTAATTCTTTTTTTATTTCTTCTATCGGAGTTTGAAAATCGTAGTGCCTATCTTAAACTTATTATATAAGTAAGTATTATTGTATAATTTCTATTAAACTCCAATCTGAGGATGACCATATTGTATTTCCGTAGATGCTAGTGAATTGCCAGCTTATTTGAATAAAGAACATGCACATGGTTTTTATTGTGTTAATTTAAAACACTTTTGCGTATTGTGAACGAGTACGAATTGTGTAAATTAATATGAGTTTGCAACTATCTGAGGGCCTTATTTAGGGCCTACTATAAATTTGAAAATTTGCGATTTTTTTCCA